CTCAGTCGCCGCAGCTGCCGGGCGGGCACGTGTGCCAGGATGGACTTCCAGTTGCCCAGCAGGTGGGCGATGATGCTGCGCTGCTGCCACAGGTGGCCCAGCCGCGGGCTCTCGCTGGGTGGCGGGGAGGGCAGTCGAGGGCCCCTGGCTGCCTCCTGCCCCCGCGGCCCAATGCGCCAGGCCTCCAGGGTCCTGCAGGTGGCCGTCTTGAGGGTGGGCGTGCAGGCCGACTTCTTCCAGTGACTCAGGAAGAGCATGACGATGCGTTCCTTGCGAAGGTTGGCCAGGTCAGGGCCTGGCCTGGCGCCGGCCTCCGATGGGGCCTCCTCACAGCTGATGCCCGAGTCGCTGGCCTCCTCTGTGTCGCCTGTTCCAGGCTCCCTGCCCATTGGGCCGCCACGAGGCTTCAGGGGAGCAGGCCAGCAGCCTCTCAGGCATTGCCCGGGCTGGGCCCCCAGCTCACAGGGGCCGGGGCTTGGGGTGCAGGGCTGGCCAGGGGCTGATTCAAAGTTGCCACGAAGGGTCCGCACAGACACCCCGCACTCCTGGATCTCGCGCTGGGCCTTGCTCCTTGGGGGACTGGCTGGGACCTCCCTGTGGGCCTCCTGTAGGGGCCTAGCGGCTGGCCTCTCCTCGCCCTGCACCAGCCCGTTCACGCCCTTCAGCAGCAGGGACAAGCTGCGCACCAGCCGGGCGACGTGGCTGCACCAGAAGGGCAGGTGCTGCGCTCCAGACGCGGCCTCCAGGGCCCCTGTGGAGCCCTGGGGCTCGATCTCAGGGCTGGGAGCCTCCTCGCCCTCCAGCCCGGGCGCCCAGGGCAGGAAGTGGCTGTTGACAGTGATGCTGACCAGGGGTGCGGGCAGCAGGGCCTGCAGCTCCGCCGCCAGCCGGCCCAGCTCGTTCTCGTACTCCTGGCAGCGGTGCCGCAGCTGCAGGTCGGCGATCTGCTTCTCCAGGTACACCAGGTCGTCCTCGGTCAGCAGCTCTCCGAAGGGGCCCAGGATGGCCTGGTGGGTCTGTGAGTACCGCCAGGCTGCCTGCTCCGCGGGGCTCCCGCCATCGTCCTGGGCACAAGGAGGGCAGGTCAGTGGAGCCACAGCCACACTGCGGATCTCAGTGGGGAGGGGGTGCTGTTCCCACTGGACACAAGCTCCCCCCCCAGTGGCCTGATTCTAGGTGCCCCTGGGAAAGCCAGCCCAGCCCCTGGACCCTCGCTGGCCCTTGCCTGGACTTAGAATGTAAATAAGGCGGCTGGCCAGCCCGTCGGAGTTTGGGGCTCTGGGTAGTCACCCTCCCCGCGAGGGCCCAGTCTTCCCCTCTGAAGAGGGGAGGGTGCCTCTGCTCTGCCACCCCCCCAGCCCTCCTCAACTCCTCGGTGTTTAACTCAAAGAATCTCTCTCCACGGAGCCTCCGCGGTTGGACAGCAGCTCCGAAGATGGGCAGCCTCGAGGCTCTACTCTGGGTTCTCCCGGTGTGTAGCCAACTCCACCCCAAAACGCTGCAGCCCCCAGGGCTTCCCCTGGCACTAGTCCTGCCTCACTGAGCTCACAGCTTGTGGGGGAGACGGACACGGAGGGTCTCGAGCTGGGCTCCCCCGGGGTGTGGCTCTGCGAACGCCTGATTATTCCTGAGACCCCTGAGGGAAACGCTGCATCTGCCTCTCTTCACAGGTGAGGGGACGGAGCTGCCATTTGGCTGCTAAGAGGCCCGGGACTGTCTGGTGCCAAGTGGCTCTGTATGAGTAAGTTCTGACTCCTTGTCCCAGGAGGCCTGGGTGGGGAGCAGAAATCGGGGGAGTAGCTGCCTCCCTGAGCAGTGTCTGGCCCATGAGGGTCAGGCACAGGAATCTGCAGACTATGGCTAGCCTGGGGCTGAAGCCAGTCCCCCAGTCCCTCCAGCCTGTCCCCCTCTGCTTTCCCGAGTTCTCCGCAGACCCCCAGCTCCGTCCCAAGGTCAGACTCAACAGGGCTTCCCGGGTGTGGCGGGAGGCCCCCCACCTACCCCTGCCTTGCTCTACCCCCAACCCCATGGGCCTCCATCCCTGACAGCGAGGACAGGCTGGGCCATTAGACCAACACTGCCCAACACTTCCGTGCTGATGGGGACAGCGTGCCAAAACACGCAGTAGACACTGGCACCTGAGGCTACGGAAATGAAATGCAGCTGGTGCAACTGAGGGGAGGGGGTTTACTTTATTTCATTTTAATTAATTTAAATAGCCACATAGGGCTGGCATTATTGTATTCGACAGGGCAGCTCTAGACCAAGGGTTGCAGAATATATCGTTCAGACAAAACCGTATCCCTCCAGGGTAAGACTCTAGAGCAACTGCCCACAGGGAAGCCAGAGGAAGCCTGTTAAAATCCAAGCCAGAGCCCAGCACTTCCCTGCTCAGATTCTCAAAGGCTCCTCAAAGTCTTATAATATCCACCCATCTCCTCTCCAATCTCACCTCTACCCACCATCCCTCGTTCATTCCACTCCAGCAGTACCAGCCTCCTCCTGCTCCTCCCTTGGGTGGTCCCACCCATGCCTCAGGATCTTTGCACCTGCTGCTTCCACTGCTGGCAGTCACTTGTCCCAAATTCTGATAGGGCTTCCCTCTCATTTCCTTCTGGCCCCTGCTCAAGGCCACTCCCCAGAGAGGCTGCCCCTGAGCACCTGGACGGAATAGCCTCTCCCCTTTACATGGTTTTGCTTCCTTCCACAGCACTTAGAATCACCTCCCCACCCCCACACACCCAGCGTAATTGCCCAGTCACTCCGTCTTCCCCACTGGAATATAAGCACTAGGCGGGCAGGGCTGGTCTTCACTGCTGAGAACAGAGCTTGGCACAGGGTACGCACGGGATACAAATCGTTAGATCAAAGAACACGTGGGCACCACATCTCTAATGCAGGTGAAGGGGCACTGCTCACAGCCCTCTGATCTGGTTCAACTTCATCGCCTGACAGAAGAGGAAGCTGAGGCCACAGAGGGACACGTAGTGGGGGGGGTGTTACCTGGGTTTCCAGACTCGAGGTGTGGGCTAAGGGCCCCACCTTCCACGTCCACCTGCCAGTGCAAAGCCTCCTGCTTCTGCCTCCGCCCTCTGCTCTGGCCCCACCCCGCCCCGCCCCTCTCCAGCAGGGCCCCCGCCCACCTCCCACAACTCCACGCCCCTCACGCCCATCTCCCACCCACCCTCCACGCCGGGCCCCGCCCCCTCCCAGGCCCCGCCCCCTGCTCCACCTGGGCCTCCAGCGCTGGGACTGTGCCCAGGCGAGCCTGCAGCTTCCGCACCATCACCTGCCGCTTCCACTCAGGGATGGCCCGGCCGCGCTCATCCCTCGTGGGCACCAGCCCATCCAGGTCACCGGAGGGCAGCCCGTCCAGCTGCAGCGCAACCAGGCTGTCCGGGGCGTCCCCCGCCGCAGTATCCGCTCCCTGTGTGGACGTAGGCAGGTCGTCCAGGGCCCCTAAGGGACCCCGGTCCGGGAGGTGAGGGGAGGACCGCCCAGGATGAGCGCAGCTCAGGGAGGAGGGGTAGGCGATAGCGGCGACCAGGGAGGGCCGGGTAGACCACGCACAGCACCCCAGCCTGGTTAAGTGTGAGTCTTTCGAGGGCAGGGACCCTGGTGTCCTCTGTGGGACCAGGTATGTGTAGGGAGGATCGTCGGCTGAGAGGCGACCAGAGGTTCCTCCCTTTTTCTGTATATGGCAGAGAAGGTGTGGCCCAGAGCATGCCATGAGGATGGGCAAACTCATCTGAGGAACGGTTGCATAGATGAAGTCTGATAGCCAATTCTGGACTGCAGGACTTGTCTTTAATGAGCCTTTAATGAACTGTGTCCACTGTAATTCTCCAAGGGGGCGGCACTGTGCAGCATTTCCCAAACTCACACAGAACATCTCAGGGGCTGAGTTCCCAGCACCCATTCAGGGAAAGGGTGGGCTGGATTTCTAAGGGTCTGGTGCCCAGATAGAGGAGAGAGAGGAGCAGATCCCAGGCTAGCTGGGAGACCTCAAGGGCAGAGGGTGCCAGGTCCAGCCTCCCCATGGCCAGATGCTTCCCTGCACCGTGACAGCAGTGTCCGAAGGGGCACGAGCACCCCTATGTTCAGAGGTCAGGGTGAGGGTCTTGGGCCCCTGGGGCTTCCTAGAATCAGAGAAGGTCCATGTCTACTATGAGAGGGTGACAAGCTGCTTGTGGCCTTGAAATTCCCACCTACCCAGAAGCTGGGTGTGCCCTCTAGAACCAGCCAGTCACCCCAGGCACCTCCTGACGTCGACCTGCAAAGAAGGGCCTGGCTGCCCCAGGAGAGACCTGGCCACGTAGAAGAACACGGTGAGAGGCCAGCTGGGCTTCGAGGTTGGCTGGGGGGTGCCTTGGGAGGCAAGGGCGTGGCGGAGCGCTCACCGTGGGGACAGCCATGGCACTGGTGGTGACCCTCGGGGGGGCTGTGTAGGTTGTCTGCTCCCTTGGAAGATGCTGGTCAGGCTGGCTGGGCCAGGTGGGGCTGAGAGACGCTGCTGTCAGGACGGGGGAGCTGGAGTCAGAGGGGCTTCCAGAGAGGCCAGGGGAGTTGGGGGCAGAAGACCCTGGCCTTCCTGAAGGACCACTGGACCTGGAGCCAGAGACCCAACCAGCCCCCCTACAAAGTGCCCTGGGGCCTGGGCAAACTCCTTCATCCCTGGGGTTCCCTGGGCATCCATGCGGCCTGCTTGGAGCCTGGCGGGTTGGAGAGCCTGCCTTTTACCCACCTCATCCCATCCCACAGCCTGTCCTTCTCCCTAGCCCCTCCTAGAGCCTGGAAGGAGCTAGAAAGGGCGTAGGGTTCCATGGTCTGGGGACCTAATGCAGCCCCATCAGGTGCAAATCTGTCCTTTTACTGCCCCTCCCCCACCCCCCCCACACAAAGACACACACACGCTACACCTGGCTATATAACCACAACCCATCCCACGAAGTGATGCTTCCCCTCACCGCATGTGGGGCCTGCTCACATTCTTCATGCTGTTCCATTCCATTTCATTTTGATAAATGCTGCTCCTAATCCCCTAACGGGTTATGGCCGGCAGTTTGAGGGCCGTACTCCTGCCCCCTGCTGGAGTCTCAGGCAACAGCAGCAGCCTCAGAAGGCCCCTTCAGACCCAGCCTTTGATTTACCCCGGGACAAGCTGAGGCCCAGAGAGGGGATAGGCCACCCAAGGTCACACAGGTAGAAGAGTCAGGCCGGGGGGGGGGTGCTCAGAGCTCAGAGTGACCCCTGGGGGCTGGGCAGGAGGCTGTTTAATTACGGTTATTAGGCCCATTGTGGAACACATTCATTCTCACTTTAAAAAGGCAACAAGACAAAAAAAGGAGACTGGAAGAGTTGGGGGGTTGGGTCGAGGAAAGGGTGGCCCCAACCCTGTCCTCAGTGTCCTATGTACCCAGCAGCCCAGAGACTGCTTCTCCTCACCTCCCCCACGCCCCCTCGAAGAACCTCAGAGGTGAGGCCGGCAGGGCCCCCTCCTAGCACCCACGGCCCAGGCCAGTCCTCCCTGGAGACTGTACTCACAGGTGGGGTTCCCGAGACCTGGGCCCCCTCTTCTTCCATCCTCCAGGGAGTGCCTTGCAGCCGACAGCGGAGGAGCGGGGAATGGCGGGGGCGGGGGCGTCATCAGGAGCGGCACCTGGGGGTGGACCAGCCGGGTCAGTGGGAGGCCCAGGTGGGCCTTGCCTTGGGCTGCCAGCTGGGGTGGGGGGCTGCAGTGGGCTAGCCCAGGCCTGGTCTCCCTGGGGCTGTGCGTCTGCAAC